CACTGTCTTTTTGGTTTCTCCCTTCCTCTGCCTGCTTGAGGGATGTGGATGGATTCCCCCGTGCACAGCCAAAGCCAAGTCCATCCTCCTGTCCTGGTCACATTCCCAAATTCCCATTTGTGCTTTCCCTGGGGAAACCTTGACCTGGCTGAAGCTGCCTGTTGCCAGCTCCTAACCCATCCAGGATCCTTCCCCCAGTGTCAGAGTACATTTTGGGTGCAGGTGCCCCGGTGCTGGTGCCTCCACCATGGCACTTCTCCTGCAGCCATTATTTAACCTCAGCGATGTCACTGCATGCCTGATGCTAAAATAAATTGTTGAGACACCCACAGTGTGGCTTCCTGGGGTGTCTCTTTGGTCTTCTGTGTCTTGCTGCGTCTCTTCTGGCAGCACATGTGTTTTCGGGAGCAGGTGAGTGACCTGGGGCTCTTCCCTTACCTGATTATTATTTTTCCTTCTAGCCTCCACCTGAACGAAGCCCTGAAAGATGAGGACATCAAGAAATGCCACCGGGAAGTGGTAAGTCTTTGGCTTTGTGACTGAATGGGCTGGTTCGCTGTAGCCTGGCCCTGGCTGTTTGCCACAGAGGAACCTGCTCAGGGTCTCAAATGTGGGCTGCAGGAGCCAGAGGTGAAGCTGCAGTGGCGCCTGGTGCAGGGCAGAGGCTCCTGCCTGCATTTTCAGGGGAGCTGATGATGGTTTCGTGTGGCTCATGATCTGCCTTGCCAACACTTCCAGGATTTTCCGTCCAGAGCAAAGGAGAAAGTGAAAATCTTGACTGCAAGCAGCTTGATTTCTGTCTGTTTGAAGCTTTTTGGTTGTTCAAATCGTGCCCGAAGTAGAGCTTTTTCAGTCTGTCTACAAACAAGAGATGCTCTGGAAAAGGAAGGAGCGGAGGGAGAAGGCATTTTGCCTTTCCCCATGGAAAAGATGAAGGAGAAAAATATTTTGCCCATTATTCAGAGGCATCTGGGAGGGTTTGTGCTGGGTTTAGGGGATGTTTCTTGGTCAAGTCAGCCCCAGGGTGGCTCAGAGGCCATGCCACAGTCCCCCTGTGTCCCCCGAAACGCCCCTGCCGGCACCCGTCACCATCCCAGTGTTTCTCCAGGAGGTGTCTAAGCTGACCCCAGGTGATGCAGAGCCTTGATCCTCTTAGGGCCCGGCTCATCCAGTGACAGGGTGTGCGGAGCAAAGGTGACCTTGTCTTGCCTGCAAACCAGCCTCACTGCCCCAGGCCCTTCGAGCTGTGCTGGATCTCTCTACATCCTGGCAAAGCATCTCATCCTTTGGATTTTGGGTGGCAGCCGTCACTGCCGCGGGAACAGCCGTGTCCCTGGGGAGCACCCTGAGGTCCAGGGCACTGCCTCCTCCGGCACAGGGGACACAAATCTGCCAGTGCCACCTTACAAGGCTAATTGAGCAGATTTAATGCAAAGTGTTGAACTGCTTCAGAGCCTTTAACTTATATACAGAATTATTTAAGGGCGAATCCGCCGAGCCTCCCGCCGTGGCTGCTGGCAGGCTTTGAAGAGGCACCAGGAATATAAATAGCTGGATGGCGCGGCACGATGGGTGCAAAGCAAGTGTTGTCACCGTGCCCCGAATAAGGGAAAAGCTTGAGGAGGAGGAGGAGAGAAACCGCTGGGCAAAATAAATTGCCTGCGGCTGAGCTCAGGGGGAAAACCGGTTCCTTGCAGAGGCTCAGACACCTCCTTAGATATTAGGGGAAATGTTTATTTGGGAGGATGGCACAGCATTTGGGTGCTGGATCATCGGACCCTCCTCTAGCCGTTCGGTTCCGCCGTCCCCAACCTGGTGGGACCCTGCTGTGCTGGTCCCGGGTGCGGGGAGAGGGAGATATTTTTGCAGGAGGGTGGTTGGTTTTTTTGGGGGGGGTCTCCTTGTCAGCAAGGTCACTGGATAACTGTGCTTTGCTTCATTTTCAGGCCGCTAGCAAGTACAACTCCCAGTACCACAAGCTCTTCAAGGACATCCCGACGGAGGAGAGCGTGCTAAAAGGTGGGTGGCATGGCAAGGGACGGGCACAGGGGCGGCAGGATGTGGCACATGGTCTGCCATGTCCCTCTCTCCGCCTTGCAGTTTGTTCCTGCGCCCTCCAGAGAGACATCCTCATCCAGGGAAGGCTTTACATCTCCCCCAACTGGCTCTGCTTCTACGCAAACCTTTTCGGGAAGGACATCAAGGTAACGTGGGGGCCAGCTCCACCCCTGTCCTGTAGGGCTTGTAGTCCAGGCCATGCCACAGCCCACTCATCCCCTCCTGTACCCAGATACCGCCAAAATCCCCATCAAAAGCTGCCGATATGAAGGGGAGTGTGGTTGTGCCTCCCCCTCTGATCACCTGCGGCATCTGCCTGGGGAAACCAAATATTGGTTTGATTTAAAATTCCCTGATGCAAAACCTCCTACAAGCCACAGCAGCGTTTAAAGGAAGATCAAAGGTTTCGGAGGGGGAGAGTTGAATCTCTCCTGCCTTTTCTTCTTGATTTACAATCTGACGTTTCCCTATTAGTCTTGCGGCTGACAGGGATCTTGGGGAGAGACGACTTCCTTTAAAACTGGGCTGAAGAACTGAATTATTTATATCAGCTGCTTTAAGCAAATATCTGATGGAAGTACGGGGTTTCAGTGAAATTATCCTGCCATAAATTATATCCTGCCTTATTTTTAACCCTCCCTGGGTTTGCAGGGGGCTCTCGTGATGGGTCTTAGGGAGACTCACTGGACGATGCTTTCCCCTTGTCCTCGCTGTTTTGATTGAGTAGAAACTGCCTTCAGGCTGAGATTAATGTGGGGTGGATGCCATGACCTTTAATAAAAAGCAAGCTGTCTCTGGGAAATGACAAATCCCTGCGTCGCTGCTCTGCTTGGGGCATAATTATGACGCGTGTTAAATCTCCATCTTGCGAAAGAAACTCCCCGAACTTGCGCCGTGCCCGTCCCTGCCCATCCTCATGCCTTTTTGCCCTCCAGGTTGTGATCCCGGTGGTCTCCGTACAGCTGATAAAAAAGCACAAGACGGCTCGGCTGCTGCCCAATGGCTTGGCCATCACCACCAATGCCAGCAGAAAGGTAATACCGGTGCTTTGAGCATCGGTACCCGGCCTTGCTGCAGCCAGAGGATGCCCTGGTCCGAGTTGGCTGTGATTTGAGAGCAGGGAATGAAGCAGTTCCCATCCCCGGCTGACAGCGTGGGCCGGCCGGAGAGCGAGCACTGCTCTCCGTGCTGGCAGCCAGCCAGGGCAAACACTGAAGCTTTGCTTTTGTTTCTGAATTTCACTTTGTTTCTGGGCAAAGCAAAGCCCAAGTGAAACTCGTCCGAGCCTGACAAATCCCTGCTAGGCTCAAATAAAACCTTTAAACTCCTTAAATGCAAGCAGGGGAAGGGTTTGGGCCAGTGTTCAACTTGAGCTGGTGTAAAACTTGGTTAAGGGGATGAATTTCCAGCCTTTAAATCGTGTTAGGTATTGTGAGCCACAGGGAGTTGACGTAGTCCTGCTTGGCGCATCCGAGTCCTCGCCCTCCCAGGTGCTGCTTGTGGCAGTGTGTTCCTGTCTCCTCTCAGGGAGGTGGTTATTCCTGTGGGATTTTGGGAGGGGGTTATTCCTGTGGGATTTGAGCATTGGGTGGGACAAAGCAGGATTTGGGCATTCAAAGCAAGGCTGCTCTGCGCATCGCATGGGCTCTGCAAGGTGAGCGCTGCCCCATGTCGCCTCATGCTGATCTGTGGGGACATTTTTGGTTGCTCCTGGCCCCATTTGCTGACACATCCCTCTGGGCTGAGTGTGGGAGGCCCTCATGGGGACAGCAGCTGAGCGAAACTGGCCCCAAAAAAATCTGGTCCAGGTTTTAGCAGGTTGCAAAAATAGCAGCAGGGAAACTCCACAGGGAGATGCCTGTGGGGACTGCGGCTCCTGAAGGAGGGGAGATTCAAGGGTGGGATGTCTCTGCCAGTTCCCTGCCTGTGGGGAACTGGAGGATGGTGGGAATCTCTCCCTGCAGCTTCTCTCTTTCTCTTGCAGTACATCTTTGTGTCCCTTATCTCCCGCGACAGCGTCTACGATGTCCTGAGGAGAGTCTGCACGCACCTGCAGGTACCCTCCACACCATGTCAGATAGCGTTTCAATAGACACAGGCTCCCCTTCGGGCTGTGTCTTGGGGAGCAAAGCTCCTCACCATTGCCACGAAGGCTTTGGACTGCTCCCAAACCCCTTCCTGGTGCCCTGCTGCCTCTTCTTGGGAGCAAGGGACAAGAGGGGCAGGAGCCTGCTGAGAACGGCAAGGCTTCATGACACTGCTGTATCCCCACCATCCCCTCTGCCTTATGCAAGGGGCTGTCCCGCTGTCCCTGTTTCGTAGCTTGAAATGAGGGTGGCTGTTTCTTAACATGCTCTTGAGCATCCCGGCGGGCCAGAGCTCGTCCCTGGGTGTTGCGTAGGCGTCCCATCCCTGTGAGCTGCCAGTGGCCTTTTCTGGGTCACTGATGATGGAGGCAGAGCCCAGCGTTTCTGCTCTCTCCCAGGGCATGTATATGAATTATTTATAATCTGGTAGTAATACTAGTTCTGCTGCTCCGCACATAGCTGCCTTTTCCCCGGATCTAAAGTTTAAGGGAAGGAAAAATGGTATAAAGTAAAAAAAAAAAAAAAAAAAAAAATTGAGTTAACCCTGAACATGGATGGGCCATAACAGTTAAAAAAAAAAAAAAAAAAAAAAAAAAAAAAAAATTGAGTTAAGCCTGAATGGGGAAGAAATCCATCAGCCCTTGAGCTGGAGAGGAGGGTTGTGGGGACCTCCTCTTGTCCCTGCCTTTGAAGCACGTGGGAAGCAGTGCCAGAGCCCTATCCTACCTGGAAGGCTGGCTGCCGGGTGCGCTGGAGCGGTGATTTGGGTGACTCGGCCCTGTCACCGAACTGGGGAATTTATTCGTTGAAATGTGCCTGGTTCTGCCCAGATATTCCTTTTTTTTTTTTTTTTCCCTTCCAATGGTTTATCCCTCCACCGGGAGCTGAGACTGGTGCAGGAGGCCTTGGCTCAGCCACAGCCCCGCAGGGTTTTCGGCAGCGGGAAGCAGCAATGTGGTGCCTTGTCCTCTGCCAGATGCTTTTCTTCATCCCCAAAATCCCTGCTCTTGCAAATTTTAAGCAGCTGCTCTTCATAGATTCACCAGAAATGTCAAAATTCAATTTTCTGGCTCAGGTCAAAGCAGGGAGAGGTGGTGCCCCAGCCAGTAAAGCCCATTTCATTCTCCTCTTCAGGTTTCAAGTAAGAAGAGCTTGAGTTTGAAGGAGCTGACGGAGGAGCCCGACACTGTGTCACTGGTGAGGGTCAAGGCAGCTCTGGGCGAGGGAAGGACCCCCATGAACTCGTGCTGTGGGCATCCTCCCTGGCCCCCTTGGTGGGTTTAATGCCTTCCCGGCACCCTGAGGCTCAGCCAGCAGATGCTTGCAGGGAGCAGAGTTGGTCCTCTCCCCTCGCTGCCGGGAAAGGTTGCATGAGGATGCTGCCGTTGCCTTCATAGCTCATCCTCTGGGATCCTTATAGCCCAGTTTGGCAGAAACAGCCGGGTTAAGGGGACGATTTGGTCACCCATGGCTCAGCACAGGCCAATGCCCTGGCTGGTTGGTCTTGGGGTCCCTTTATACACTGAAAAACTTCAGAGTGATGTGTAAAACACTGCCACTCTGCTCCCACCAGGTGGTGCTGGTGACAGCTATCAACACGGGTAATGGGCTGTAAATATGGTTGAATTATCCAAAAACCTGTGGGATGGCTGTGACAGCTTATAGCCAGGAGGCTGGAGAGGGAAAAGGCTGCTTAACCGCAGTGTGACCAAGGGAGCATGAGGGGCCGCATCCTGCTGCCTTTGGAGCATGGCAGGGCTCAGTTCTGCCCATGGCAGCTGCGTCCCCAGCCAGCGGAATGTCCCCTCCATGAAATGTGGGTGGCCTGTCCCTGTCTCCGCTCGGTCACGAAGCTGTTGGTTCTGTGGCCATGCCAGGGACGCTGAGCAGGGGGGTGGCCCTGTGCATCAGGCTGGGCACAGGAGGTGACTAGTGGGATGCCCCCTGTGGGCTGGTGGCATCCCAGGGGTTGAATGTGCTTTTCAAGGAGTGAATTGGGAGTGATCCAGGCTGGAAGCATCTCCCGATGCTTCTGAGGGACGTAGGCCTTCGGCAGCTCCAGCCCCAGGGACCTGGGCTGTGCTGGGACTGGGATGCTGAGCCACGGGGCGGGCAAGGGGCTCTTGGAAGATGACCGGTGACTCTGCTGAGCTTAAAATCAAGGGATGGAGGAGACAGCAATTGGTATTTGGGGCAGGCATAGGGTGCATGGGCAGGTCCTTCCTTATGGCAGTAGGAACCTGTGTTCCCACCAGGTTGTTGTGGAGGACCAGCTCCCCCTTAGGATGATGTTTTGGATGTGCTGGTTGCTCAGTGGAGATGCCATAAGGTTTGGGTGCAAACCTGGCCCCACCACATCCTCGATGCTGCCGGTTTCATGGGAGAAACTGCTGCCGGCGGCACGGCTCACCTGGGGCTGTTCCTGCAGGAGGTGATTGTTCCTGAGGGCAAGTGGAGGAAGGTGTCACCCGCTTCACTGTCACTGTCATTGCCGGACGCCAACTACCAGTGCATCCACCGGACCTCTGTCAGCAGCCTGAGTACCAAGGAGAGCTCCTTCACCTCTGAGGAGCCCTTGGTTTCGGGTAAGGGTTGTGTCCGCCCCAGGGATGCGTATGTGTGCCCTGCCCCGCACACAGTGCTGGGCATAAACCTCCAAAAATGTTCATCCATCCTCCACTCTCGTGGAGGGGATTTATGCCTTGCGGATGAGCAAGGTTGAGGCTGGGAGTTGGTGATGGGGTCTTGGGAATGGGGTGGGGTGGGGTGTCCTGCCTGCAGGGTCTGAGCCCTCAGCATGCATCTGTATGAGTTGCTGTGCAGGCAGCGTTAGCCCATGGAGGAGGAATATTTGATGCTTGAAGGTTCCTGGTTGCCGGAGGAGCACGAGTGTCTCCCCAGTGTTGCCGTGCTGCTGACTCCAGGCTTGCATTTCAGAATGTGCAATAAACACCGAGGAGGAGCTGGAGGTGGAGCAAAGCTGTGTGGCAGAGCTGAGACCTTCCGACTACCAGCTCCTGAAGATCTTCATCGTGCTGTAAGTGTGCCGAGGCTGGCTGCAGCGGGGTGGGGTTGGGGGTCTACGCTGGGAACATCCCTCTCAACCACTGACCGCTGAGCGCTTGTGCTTGTTCCTCTACTCCCAGCATCTGCCTCCTGGTTGTGTCTTCCTCATACCTGGCATTTCGCATCTTCCGTCTGGAGCAGCAGCTCTGCTCTCTGAACCGGGACTACCTCTCCCGCGGGCACAGGAGGTGAGGGACCCTTAGGGACACTTTACTGCAGGTAGGTCACATCACGAGTGGAGGACCCGAGGGATGAGGTGCAAAGGCTCTGCTCCATGATATGTCCCAGGGATGCTTTGTTCCTTATCCTGTGTCTGCTGTTGGGGTGGCTGACAGCAGACCCCAAAGTGCCATCCCTGTGCAGTAGATGATTCCATCAACTGGTGGTTTGAGCGACTGGGAAAAGCTCTGCCATTCCTGGGGCTTTTAGCCCTTGGGGAAAGGTTTCCTTGTGGGTTTGGGGCTGGTTCCCTGGTTATGGGAAGCACCGGGGCATCTCGGTGGAGCTGGGCTGCGCCCTGGGGCTAATGTGACTGCGGGCATCAGCAAGGGATGGATGGGAGTGGGTTCCCTTGGGTTGGGGACATCAGGGGGTGTCCCTCCTCATGCCCCTGAGCCTGGGCACTGGGCTGGGGTACAGTGCCCCCATGGCCACTTGCCCCCTCTTAGCCCCCTCTCTCCTTGCAGGTGACTGTTACCCCCAGCGCTGGCAGAGGATGGATGCCAAATGCCGAGACAATGCCCCCCTGCAAACGGATCCCGGAGCTGCATCCTCCTGGCCATGGCTGTTGCACGTGGCCTGGCTTTCCCTCAGCTGGTAAAATGGGACCAAGTATCTTCTCTCTTCCTACTGGCACCCACTCCTGGTGGTACCACCCAGCTGGCTCACAGCCACTGGTGCCAACTCCCTGTCCCACTGGAAACCCATTTTCTCCCTGGGATGCTGCTGTGCCGTAGCACCGGATGACAACTTGGGGCTGCTGAGCAGTTGGACCTCCCCTTAGCACTTGCTGCTAAAACGGGTGCCAGTTTTTATACCAGACTTGGGTTTTTCTTGTTAAAAGAAGACCTTAGGCTCGCCAAGAACCCCCAGAAATGTGGGATGAGTTACTGCTGCTGCTCCGGGTGAAGCCCGGGCAGTGGCTCTGGGCTCAACCCACCTGTTTGTCCCCCTCTCAGTACCCATGGGGCCACGTCTGGAGGAATGGCCCCAACCCCGAGGGTTTGAGGGGATGGGGAGAAAGGGGCTACCAGCCCTGTTGGGGCATAATCTATCCCAGCACCCAAGGGTGGGGATGCAATCCAGGGCTCCCCCAGCACCGCTGGGCTCTGTACCAGCCCCCATCCCATCTCTCCTGGAGCACTGGGGCATCCTAGGGGGGTGTGTGTGTGTGCATCTGTGTCCCTGCAAAGCACTTTAGGGTCCCCCAGACCAGACGTCCTTGCTGGGGACCTCACCTGGGAACGGTGCTGGACCAGGGCTTTGTTAGCCCCCTTTGCCTCGTTAAGACACCCTCAAAGGAGCCCACAGCTGGCACCAGTGAACGTCCCAGATCGCAATGTGTCCGTGTCCTGGTTTGTGTTAACCTTGTCGCTGTGCGGAGCCAAGTGCTGCAGGATTTATCCCGCGGCCTCCTCTGGGAGCACGCTGGTGATACCTGTGTGATTTATTTTGGTTTTCTTTCCTGTTTTTTTGGGAACTACAAGTGCTGATGGGGCCAAATCCCCGCAACCTGGAGAAGAGCTCGCTGTTCCCTCCAGGCTCAGAACAGCTTTTAAATGAAAAATAAAACCAGGATTTTCTAGCATGTCCCTGCCTGCTGCCAGCATCCTTGCAGTGGTGCTGGGCTGCAAGCCCTGAAATGGGATACCCCAGAATCTGGCCTGTTCCCGTGCCCCTTTGCTGGCCACATCCTGGGGCTGTGTGCCCCTGCCCCGGTGTCGCACCCCATGGGGCAGGGCAGGGGGGATGCTGCGGGGTCCAGCACCACCGGGATGCCGGTGGGTGCTCAGCATTGTTTCTCCAGCACTTTGTCACCCTGGCCATGTTTGGGAGACATGTTTGGATGGGCCAGGCCTAGGGGATGGGGAGGTTTCTTCACTAGGTGGCAGCAGAGCCTGCGATGTGACACTCAAGCTGGTGGCAGGGCCACCCTGGGGACAGCGGGTGCCTGGGGTGGGTGCTGAGCTGCAGCCCCATCCTGCCGGGGTGGACAGGGTGAGCCTTCCTCCTCCCCTTCTCCTCCTCCTCCCTGACCATCCGCAACCCGAATCCCCCCTGCTAGCCTGGTCCATGCAGCAAAATGCATGAAAAAGGGTAAAAAGTGTGAAAACGGCCCAACTTGAAAGCCACAGCAGAGGTGGCGTTGGCTAAGTGGGGGCTGGGGTGGTGTCACCCCGTTTTTTTGGGGGGAGATTTAGCACCCTGGGGTGCTGGGGGGGGGGCATTTGTGTGGTTTGGCCACGTTTCTGGACAATCGAAGCTGCTGCTTCAAAGCCCCGGCGTTACGGGGCTGTCAGAGCCTTTGATTTTGTGGGTGACCTGGTGGGTGAAAGGTGCCATCCCGCTGCTGCCCCGTCTCCGCCAGCGACTTGCCTAGCTTGTTTTGCCGGTGTAGCTGCTGAAAATGGGTTTGGGGTTGTTTTTCTTCCAAAACCAAGTTGGTGCTCAGTGGGTTCAACCTCAAAGCGGGCCTTGTGGCCCCAAAAAATGAGTTTAGAGGTTTAGGATTGGAGTGGTTTTTCGGTCTCGTGTGCCCAACCTGGTGGTTTTTGAGTGCTCTGCAGAACGCAGTACAAAATACTGTCCCTGTGCCGAGCTCGGGCCAGGTGTGTGACAGTGGTGATGGCCACCTTGGCTTAAAGCCACCCAGACGGCTGATGCAGAGGAGATTTGCAGGAGCCCCCGGTGTGGTTTGGGGGGTCCCTGCTGCCAGGAGATGGGTGCAAGGCTCCGGTTTTGTTTTCCAGCCGGTTTTTGCCTGCCTGGTTGTGTGTGTTTGCTCTCCCGGCAACGCCCTGCTTGAGCTTATTTGCTTTTCTTTGTGTAAAGAAATGCTACATAAAAGCTTTGGGTGCAGGACATGTCCCTGGGTGCTCACCTTGCTGGCGCAGCCCTGCCCCATCCCTTGGGGACAGGGACAAGGAGCACGGGGTGCCCTCTGGATGAGCACAGCCCCTGCCCTTGCGTTCTCCCCCCTCCCCCTGCCCCGTGCTTCCCTGGTCTGACCCACCATCCTGCCTTCCTACCTCCCCTCTGCCCACGCTCCTCCCCAGCCCAAATCGACCCCTAAAAATACTGTTAGGAGATTAAATCAGCCCATATGGCTTCCTCGCTGTGGCACAAGGCGCTGGTGGAGTTGTCCCCAGGCTCGCTGGCTCTCCAAGAGCCGATTCCTGCTCTGTTTCACCCACTGCAGGGTGCAGAGCGGCTGCACAGCCGCTGCGAGACCCAAGGCTCTGCCTGCAAGTTGCAGCCGCAGACATCATCGCACAAGAAACAGTGGGGCAGCGGGAGCCACCGCTTGTTAGCAGGTACCTACACACGCAAAAAAAAGGGACGATAGTGACAAGCACACGGTTTTGGTTTGAGTTTTATTCCAGACCCGGGAGAAAGGCAGCCTCCCGCGGTGGCAGCGACGTCGCTCCGGCGAAGCCCCATGTGAATCCCCTTTGGTGAGCGGCCTGATGCCATTTCAGCTCCATTGGAGCAGTGGAAGGGGTTTTCCGGGGATGCCCTGGCCCATCTGGGTAGCTGAGGAAGGAGGGGAAGGACCCTGACCCTCATTTTGCCCCTCCACTGCCTGCATGTGCGTGCTTGGGTGTCTCAAGAGAGCCTGGGCTGTGGGTATTTACCTTCCTCTCAGCAACAAGGGAAGTTTAAGACCTTACTACGGTTCATCGCCCTCGGTGCTGTGCTGGTATGCGCAACAATTGGGTGAAAAGCTCTGGGTTCAAAATAATCCTTCCCCCTTTTCCGAGGGTTGTATTTAAGCTGGATTTCCCTGATGCAGTTGGCGCGCTGGGGTGCGGTTGCTCTGCTAGACACCACCTGAGCAACCTCCTCTTTGCTTCTCACGAGGCTAGAGATTACTTCTTACCCTGCAATGGCATCTCATGTTAATTTTTTATGTTCCCCACTGCTAAGCCTGTCTTTTAATGAGAGGATCTGCTCTGAGATCCCAGCCATCATCCGGCAGAGGAGGAAACGTGTCTTGAGTAGAAGTGGATTAAGGACTTCTTGGGCTTCAAGGAGACTGCGGTTATCTTTGGCTTTTATACATCCAGCTCTGTCCTTTTGTTCTCCCTGGTGTGTTTTTTATGTTGAGTAACAGAACTGGTTTTGTGCTAGAGGAAGCAGCAACCGCCTTGTACTCTCTGAGCACTAACGAGGGTTCAGGAGCGCTGACAAACCCTCCCCGAACGGAGACGACCTCAAATTGTAATGAAAAAAAAACCAACTTCAAAGAGTGAGTGTCACTTTTAATCTCAATTAAGTTTCCTTTCCTAGGATGGGGTTTTTCAGCTTCCTATTAATCTTCCAGCAGCTCAGAGTCAGGTTTTAATTTAAGCAATTTAATAATAATTAAATAATAACTCAGTAAGAGCAAGCAGGGATGGGGGACAAAAAAAAAAGCTATCGCTGTACAGCCTAGGAGCACCTATCTGAAGAAAAACAATTTCCTTTTTTCCCCGCTCTTTAATTAATCGTAGCATTTCCTTTGGAGTCTCATCTTTTGACATCGACATCTCGGCATCATGTGTTCAGGGGTAGAAAAATCCTTGCTGCTAAAACCTAGACTGCTCAAGTACCACTAGTGGGAGGCACAAATTAGAAATAGCTGAGGTAAAGCATTTGGGGGCTTGGTTTTAAAGGGCATTTGCTAAACCTGGCTTGGCAATGCCTGTAGCCAATTAAAGCCACCTAACGAGGGTGCGTTGCCTGCTGGGCAAAGGGGGAGAGGTGTCTTTTGCCACAGCAGTTAGTGTAAAAATTCACCATCGAGAGGCGGATTTCTTTGAAAGCAAAGTGACTTTTGTTGTTAGAGGTTCAAAGGCCAGGGATTTCCAGAGGGGACTAAGGCTTTTCCAGGAGGGAATGGGGTGTTTGGGGGGGTGTAGCCATGCTGGAGGGGTTACATTCTTCTTCTTTGGGACGATCCTGCACATGGGCATCTCCCTCAGGCACTGGGGGTGCTGCCTCGCGGACGGGGAAGGCAGGTTTTTTTTTTGGGGGGGGGGGGGGGGGGGGG